GCTTCACTTTCATCCACTCACAGAATGGCCCCACCACCAGCTTCGAGTCGGCTGCCTACCCTGGCTGGTTCCTCTGCACAGAGTCTGAAGGGGATGGGCCCGTCAGTCTTACCAACAAGCCTGGAAATGCCACCAAGGTCACCCAGTTCTACTTCCATGTGGAACAATAGTGCTGCCCATACCTCCCCTTCACTCCACTTCCGGCTCCTGGATGACTCTGGGGGCTGCCTCTCCACCCTTGCCTGGGGTCTCCTGGCTGTCCTGGGGTGAGGGCTCACTCCTGAAAGGAAGTACAGAGCCCTGGCAACTGACTCTGTCTCCAGCCTCCTCAGCTAACTCAACCTCCATGCTCCCTCCAGAATAGTCTTTCTAAAATGTAAACCAGATTGTAACACTCCTCTGCCACAGTCCTTCAGTGTTAACTGTGCCTCCCGGATAAAACCCTAACTTCTTCACCTGAGCCCCGTCCACTTGCCCAGACTGGCCATCCTCCAGTCTTCTCCCCTCAAACTCCTCTTCACCCACCCCATGTCCACGCCCCAGTTGCCTCCTGCCACTCTCCGACCCCCACCAAGTGGCTCCCCGGCCCTATTTTGCAAATTGATGCTAGTCCGTGATGAAATTTTTTAAGGGTCTATGGTAAAATGGAAAATGAGGATTTGGTGGTAATTTTTATGAAACCAACTTTATACACTATGAAGGAGAATCATTTATTTGGAGACTATGTCCTTTCTGGGAAGATGTGGTGGTAGAGGATTAACATATTCTTGCATTTTTGAAATAATGGTGAAAATAGATGGTAGCGTTTATCTTGTTTTCTCTCACTTATTTTTGTAATGTCACAATGTGTGAAAATTAAAAGCAGGTATACGATGTTGGCCTCCTAATTTTTTTTATTTCTAAAATGTTCCTGTAAGTCTGGGCCCTGCCATCCAGGACCCTGAGCACCATCACCTCTGGGGGCCTTTGCAGCTGCCAGGAATGCCTTCCTCTCCCCATGTCTTCCCACCTAAAGTTCACCAACTTCCCAGGTCCAGCAGAAATGTAACTCCCCAGGAGCCCATTTCTGAAGCTCCAGGAGGGGGTTCCTTGACCATTTTAGCACTTCTGAGACTTGTATGAAAGGTGGTCATGCCTCTGTCTCCCCCTTCAGACTGTGAGCTCCTGAGGACAGCAGCACGTCCTTTGTGTCTGAGGTCCTACAGGGCCAAGCACATGGCCTGGCCCTTAGTAGGTGCTCATTGAAGGTGTGTTGTGTGGGTTGAGTGGGAGTTTTCCTACTCCCTGTGACTTTAGCTCTGTTTTACAAGAAAACCTTGAAAACTCACCTACTTGGTTTGCTGTGTCCACAGCCTTGCAAAGCGTGAGACATAGAGAGCTTGGGAGATGGCGAGGCCCGTGACCCTTTCCCACCTGGGGCCTGGACCCTGCTGCTTCTCCTCTGAAAGTCCTTTCCCTCCTAGGGCTTCACCCTCCATGAATAACGTGAGCAGAGAGCTCCTTACCAAGAACGTGTGAATCAACGGTGTTCACCATAGCCCACATCTGGAAACTCCCCAAATATCCATCAGCAGAAGAATGAACATATATATCATGCTGTTCATACAATGGAACACTCGACAGTAAAGAAAATGTATAAGTCACGGCCAGAGACACCCAATGAGACGGATGACTCTTACCAACATCATGTGGGGAAAAGAATCACAAAGCAAACATACAGCATGCTCCCATTTGTATAGAGCTCACAGCAGGCAACCTGGAGCTGTTTTGTGGTGGGATGCATGGACAGGTGGTGTGAACCGAAAGAGAAGCAAGGACACGCTGTCCCTGAAAGTCAAGGTAGCAGCTGACTCCTGGGGGAAGGGAGGGTCAGGCAGGAACACCAGAGCCTTTTGGAGTCCAGGCAACATTTGATTTCTTGGCATAGATGTGGTTAGGCTGCTTTCTGTACATGTGGTATATTTCACAATTTTAAAATGTCTAGAAAATAAAAAGCCTCACTTTCCTGAGGTGTTAGGGAAGGGAGCATGGGGGCATTCATGAGCTTAGCAGGAGGAATGTTGAGTGGGGCCCCTGTAGTGGGACTGTAGGACTGTAGGATGAGGGCTTATCAAGCACCTCAGCTAACAGAGTCAGGGGGCCAGAGCTGCTGTCCTGCCTCCTGCTCAGCTTCCGCTGAGCTCTGACCTTGGGCTCAGGAGTCCTGGAGTCAGGCCCCAGCTGGGCAGGAACCTGCTGTTGGATCTTGACTAAGTCACCTCCATCCTCGAGGCCTGTTCTTCATTTGTCCCTAATACTGCTGTAACACAAATACTGCAAGTGGGTGGCTTTAAAGAACAGAAATTAATTTTCTCACAGTTGGGAGGCTAAAAATCCAAATCAGGATCTTGGTTGAGTCTACTCCTTCCTTGTCAGTGGCCCCAGGCATCCCTGGTTCCTTGGGGATCCTCACATGGCAACTGTCCTCCCCATCACATGCTCCCTTCTGTGCCTAATCTGCTCTTTTTATAACTCAGAAGTGATTAGGTATAGACACAACCTAAACTGATAGGCTCTCATTAACGTAACAAAGAAAACCGCATTTTCAAACAGGATCACATCCACAAGTGTAGGGGTTATGATTTCAACACGTATTCTGGGGGACACAATTCAATCCATAGCAGATATGTAATAATATTTTCGTTACAGATATTAGTCCTGGCAAAGTCAGTGCTCAACAGAATCTGCTTTAAAGCCTTGGTGCTCCAAGTATGGCCCATGGGTCAGCATCATTTGGGGGTTAAAATGCAGAATTCCAGGCCCCACCCCAGACTTACTGACTCAGGGTATTCATCTTAAGTAGATCCCCAAATGACTGGATGCATGTTAGAGTCTGAGACCCTGTTGACCCCATCGCCATGGAGTCGATTCCGACTCACAGCGACCTTATAGGACAGAGTAGAACTGCCCCATAGGGTTTCCAAGGAGTGGCTGGTGGATTCAAACTGCCGACCTTTATGGTTAGCAGCTGTAGCTCTTAACCACTGTGCCAACAGGGCTCCAGAGTTTGAGAAGTACTTTTAAAGTGAAACACTGATATAGTGTATAAGCGCTGGCATATTTCTTAAAATGACTCTGATGATTCTAAACCAAACCCATGCCCCACGCCCTTACTGTATGTTATGGATTTAATTGTGTTCACCCAAAAGATATGTTGTTGATGTCCTAACCTCTGTGTTGTTGTTAGGTATCATCGAGTCAGTTCCAACTCATAGCATTCTATTTACAACAGAACGAAACGCTGCCTGGTCCTTTGTCATCCTCACAATCATTGTTATGCTTGAGCCCATTGTTGCAGCCACTGTGTCAATCCATCTCGTTGAGGGTCTTCCTCTTTTTCAGTGACCCTCTGCTTTCAAAGCGCGATGTCCGTCTCCAGGGACAGATCCCTCCTGATAACTTGTCCAAAGTATATGAGCCGAAGTCTTGCCATCCTTGCTTCTAATGAGCATTCTGGCTGTACTTCTTCCAAGACAGATCTGTTTATTCTTCTGGTAGTCCATAGTATATTCACTATCATTCTCCCACACCATAATTCAAAGGGATCAATTCTTCCTTGGTCTTCCTTATTTATTGTCGCTTTCACATGCATATGAGGTGATGGAAAACACCATGGCATGGGTCAGGCACACTTTAGCCCTTAAAGTGACATCTTTCTTTTAACACTTTAAAGACATCTTTTGCAGCAGAATTGCCCAATGCAATAGGTCGTTTGATTTCTTGACTGTTGCTTCCATGGGTGTTGACTATGGATCCAAGTAAAACGAAATCCTTGAAAACTTCAATCTTTTCTCTGTTTATCATGATGTTGCTTATTGGTCCATTTGTGAGGATTTTTGTTTTCTTTGTGTTGAAGTGTAATCCATACTGAAGGCTGTGGTCTTTGATCTTCATCAGTAAGTGGTTTAAGTCCTCTTCACTTTCAGCAAGCAAAGTTGTGTCATCTGCATATTGCAGGTTGTTAATGAGTATTCCTCCAATCTCGATGCTGCGTTCTTCCTCATATAGTCCAGCTGCTTGGATTATTTGCTCAGCATACGGATTGAATAAGTACGGTGAAAGGATACAACCCTGATGCACACATTTCTTGACTTTTTCTGTTCTAACGACTGCCTCTTGGTCTATGTACTAGTTCCTCATGAGCACAATTAAGTGTTCTGGAATTCCCATTCATCACAATGTTATCCATAATTTTTATGATCCACATAGTCGAATGCCTTTGCAAAGTCAAACAAACAAACAAACAAACAAACACAGGTAAACATCTTTCTGATATTCTCTGCTTTCAGCCAAGATCCATCTGATATCAGCAATGATATCCCTTGTCCCACGTTGTCTTAGTTATCTAGTGCTGCTATAACACAAATAACAAAAATGGATGGATTTAACAAAGAGAAATTTATTCTCTCACAGTCTAGGAATCTAGAAGTTCAAATTCAAGGCACCACTTTCAGGGGAAGGCTTTCTCTCTCTGTTGACTCTTGGGGAAGCTCCTTGTCATCAGTCTTCCCCTAGTCTAGGAGATTCTCAGTGCAGGGACCCTGGGTCCAAAGGAAGTGCTGTTGTCCTGGCTCTTGTTTCTTGGTGGTATGAGGTCCTCCGGTTTCTCTGCTGGCTTCTCTCTTTTATATCTCAAAGAGATTGACTTCAGATACAGCCTAATCTTGTAGATTAAGTCCTGTCTCATTAACGTAACTGCCTCTAATTATGCCTTATTAACATCAAAGAAGTAGGATTTACAACACATAGGGAAATCATATCAGATGACAAAATGGTGGACAATCCCACATACTGGGAATCATAGCCTAGGAAGTTGACACACATTTCTAGGGGACACTATTCAATCCATAACATTCCACTCCTTGGACCCCCAAAATTCATGTCCTCACCACAAGTAAAACACATTCACCTCATCATATCATAGCAAAAGTCTTAACTCCAAATCCAAAATACAAAAATTCCTCTTCATCTGTGAAATCTAGAATACAAGTTATCTGCTTCCAAATTACCATGCTGGAAAAGACACAAGCTAGATGTTTCCATTACTAATGGGAGAAATTGGAGGGAGAGAAAGGATAACCGGAGCCAAGAAAGTCAGCAGAACACATTACATTAGCTCTCAAGGGTTGAA